AGGGAAGGATGGACAATACCTTGAGGACGCCGAAGATGCGGTTGCCGGTCGTAGTAGTCTGGATGCCTACATCCAAAATGGCGCGAAAAGGTTTCTTCTCCTAAAAATTAACACAGAAAAACCCGGGATGAGAACAGGAGGGAGGGGAAGACGGTAGGCAGTGAGCCAAACGACCACGGACTCTCTGGACAGAGGGAAGCGAGATTCGAAAAAAAACAGGACAGAAAAGAGGGAGATTCGGAAAAAACAAAACGGGGAACAGCGAGATTCGAAGGCTCACAGAAGATCATCCGCGTCGCCTCCTCCTCACCCAATAATTCCAAGATAATTCCGAAATAAATTCGAGATATTCAAGGGGGGGACGGGCTCCTGCAAAAGGAGCGGGGCAACACAGGCAACAAGCGAGGAGACAGAATGGAACAAATAGTCTAGACAGGGAAACCAAAAAGAGAGACAAAGGAAAGAAAAAAGAGCCTAGACGCACATCGTTGAGCTCGGGGACGTAGTAGGTGCGCCCGTTGGTCTCGTCCTTGGTGGTCGCTATCTCGCCGTCAGGCTGGCGGGGGAGGAGGAAGGAGCGGCGAAAGAAGCGGTCAGACGCGCCATACACTCACCGAGGCGTAAATGCAACAGTCCTTGCTAGGTCATAATTCTCAAGTTCAACTTTAAAATCCCCTCGACCTGAGCATCCCCGAGTCCCCATCCCCTTCGCCCTCGCTCCTTCCTTCCCTACCTCGTCCACCCCCTCGTAGGCCTCATCCAAGCCCAGCTTGTTGAGGAGCCTGCGTGCGATGAGGAGACCTGTGCAGTAGGCGGCGGCGTAGTTCTTCAGACCGACCTGGGGGGGTGAGCCACATGGGCACAGTGGAAGGGAGAAAACGTGAGCGGGAGGAGGACGCAGCGGGAAACGAATCGCGACAGGAAAAGCGTACTTGGGAAGAATACACAAACATCCTCGCATCCATAGGTATGGGAGAATAGCCCGGGGGCAGGATCTTGCACATACCTTAAGTCCATAGCGAGCGAGCTCCTTCGAGTTGGCGGCGGCCAGGACCTTGTCCCCGTCAATCGTGGCGTAGACAATTTGTGCGATGCAGTAGCGGTTCGTGAAACGCACCTGTCAATCGCGAGCAAGCGTATGTGCATGCGGGAGAGGAACGAGGCGTGGACGAGATGAGGAACATGATATCAAAGCGAAAGAAGTACAGTAAGGCCCCGTCGTTGCCCCCTACACAGCTCGTTCACAAGCACCAACCCTGCCGCGTCAAACAGTCGCCCTTTCCCCCTCCATTCCCTTCCACCCTCTTCACGTACCACCAGGCGGTATTTGGGCGTGTTGTACTTATTCTTGTCCTGCGCCACCATGCGCTTGCGGGCCCGGTAGTCCGTCTTGCCCTCTGCAAGACACAAAAAATGCGCGCGTTCAAAAGCACCATCATTAGTAAGGGAGTGATTCTATTTCAAGCATAGATCCCATTGGCTCTTTTCAGAAATCTTCTTCAGACTGGACCTTCTACCTCCATTCCTTTTGCCCGCACTCGCTTCCGTACGCTCCTCACTGCCTCTCCTCCACTCACCACGACGACGACGGAACTTGGTCTGGTACCGCTTAAAATATTGCTTATTCTTAAGAACCTTGACGAAAGGCTGTATTTTTTAAAGGACAAGAAAGAAATAAAACACAGGCATCAGATCGATGAGTGTGGCTATGATGAAGCGGTGGAAAACTAGGTGCTCGAGAGAGCAGTTGGACTTACCATTGTTGCGAAGTTCACAGACTATAGATTTACGCCTGTATGTATCGCAAATGATATAAGAGACGTAAGCAGAGAAAGTTGCCGCTGACGGGTCAGATACAATGTGCATTTGGCTGAGCATGTGCTCGTAAGCGGTAACGAGAAGGAATGTAGGGCGACGGAATCCCACAGTGGCAGCCTCGCGCGTTATCTGCCATTCATAGCCAACAAGCCACACCGGAACAGAATGCATCACGGT